GTGGAACCGGGGATTGAACTCAAATCCTTGCGTTTGCCAGTCAAGCACTTATCCTGCTGAGCCATCTCCCCGGCCCCTGGATTGTGTCTTTAAATTTCAAGTTATTAGTCCTTTGTCTGACAAACAGCTGGCAAAATATTTTTCTCATTCTTTTTGTTGTCTCTTCACTCTGTTGATAATTTATTTTGCTAAGTCCATTTTTACTAGTCAACTGTTGATGAATGAGTAAGCGAAGTAGGCAGAAGCCACTAAATCTGAAATGTGTTCCTCAGCAAAGAGAGGCAAAGTCACCAGAACACAGTCTCTCTTGGATATGTGTGTTGAAAGTCTCTCTTGGATATGTTGTCTGTATACTGTGGAGAAGCCCATTTTTCCCCACCAGATGATATTTTATTTTTATCTACATTGGCATATCCTGAAAGCATATTTCAAAGAATATTGGCATTTGTAGCATCACTCATTAATGTCAGTATTTATTTGAAGTTAGCAATTCTAAAAGTTCTTGTAGCTTGACATTTTAGGCTACAGCTAATCCTCTGGATTTACTGCTCTTTATGGGAAAAATAAAAGCAGTACTTTCCTTGGATAGTTACTAGAGACATACTTTTTTCTTTTTTACTTTTGGCATTTAAATTTTTAATTCTTTTGGACTCTGAAGGAATGGAAAGCTGAAGTGGAATGTGTTAAGGATCACTAGATACAAACTTTTCCTTAAGAAGGACAAAAGAGCAAGCCAAGTGTGGTGCTGCATGCCTGCACTGTAATCCCAACATACATGCACACACATAGGCCTACATACACACTTCTTGGGTGTGTACATGTGTAGTTTCCATCAGATTGAGAAATACTTTATGCATAAAGTGTTTTTGTTTTTTTCTTTCTTTTGGAAACTTAAGTTACACATAGATTAGGGTGCATGACATTGTCCAATGGCTCACTGATACTCTAGGTTTTCTCTTCAGAGAATTTCTGTTATTGTATCTTGAAATTCATTAATGTTTTCATCTGCTGTTACTCCCGTTTGGTATATTTTTTGTCTCTAGACCTTCAGTTTTGGTGTGCGTGTGCATGCACGTGTGTGTCTGGACTCAGAGTCTTTGCTAATGTTCTTACCCTTTTTCTTTGGTACAGGGTCTCACTATGCAGCTCAGACTCATGGTGATTCTCCTGTCTCAGCCTCCCCAGAGCTACTATTACAGGCATGTGCCACCCCACCCAGTCTTGGTGGCTGGTTCAGCATGCCCAGGGCAAGGCTGGCACTCTTACCCGCTTTTTTTTCTTTTTTCCAGGCAGGTCTCGCTAAGTCACTACATTGCCCCAGCTGGGCTTCTCATCCTCACCCTCCCTTACTAGTACTAGAGTACTAGTGTCACAGGTATGCACTACCATGCCTAATAGATATTTTAAAACAAATTTTCATTATCTCTACTCAACTTGTGCTTCCAGAATGCTAGTTTTAATGCTTTTGCATATTTCTGATATTTTGTATATGATGCTTTTCTTTCAGTATTGATTTTTTTTCCCTAAAGGGCTCATGTTTGTCTGCTTCTTTGAATGCCTAGTAATATTTGAAATGCTAGACATTATGAATTTTTCCCTTTTAGGTGATGAGTATGTTTTAATTCCTATAAACTTGAACTCTTAAGAGTAAAATAAGCTACTTGGAAAGAGTTTTATCCTTTTAGGTCTTGCTTTTAAAATTAGTTTGGTGAAACTGGAGCAGCATTTATTAGCCTACACCTGTTTCCTACTGTGGAAGGAAAAGTCTTTTGAGTGCTTTTGCTCAGGCCTGTGAATGATGGAGACAAGGAAAAGGTGCAGTTGAGAGCCCTGAGTGAGGATGAGGTAGTGTTGCTGTTCAGATGTGTTCTCTGTGTATTTGAGTAACTTTATCACATGTCTGCACTGATCAGTACTCTGTTCAGTACTCAAGTAGGACCCACTGCCGGTCTCTGGGGTTTTCTTCCATTGTAAACTTTTCTGTGAGCTGGCTTGTGAACCGTTGTGGCCTGAAAAACCTTCTTGAGCCAATAAGCCAGGGCAGTCCTAGGGCTCACCTGGTTTGTTCCCCATCTCTAGGAATCACACTCTTATGTGGCTTGGTGTTTAGTGTCTTGACCATAGTGGTTTTATGCATTTTATGGTGTATTTCTGGCTTATTTCAGGTGGAAGGCAAATTGAATTTCAGCTTATCCATCTTGTTTGAATATAGACATCTCAAAATTATTGTTCCTTTTTCTTTATGAATTTAATGTCACAATTAGTTTAAGAAAAAAGTTATAACTATTTATGGGCAAACAAATTTGAATATGCTTGCTACTTTTTCATGTATTGAATCTGCAGTAGAGCAAAGGGAGTAGAGACCCTAGAAAATAAAATAACAGCTCCTTTTCTTTTCTAGAACTTTCTGTTTTGCTCTTCTGCTAGAGGGTTGCTGTTCTCTACCAGAGCCTCTGTGTTTCTTTTAGGGAAGGGCTCTAAAATATGGATGTGCCACTCAAATATATGGAAGAATTTGTCAGTAAAATTGTCTTGTTCTTTCTGCTTTAATCTGTATGACTGAAATATGGACAATCAAATATTGTAAAAGAAACATAATGAGACTTGACTGACTAGATGTTGAGATAAATCCTTAATAATACTGAGATGCTGGTGCTAATATAGATACAGATTAGAGAATTAAAATAGAACATACAGACTCATAAGTGTATCTGAATATGGAGCATAAAGATGTTACTGTATTTCAATGATGAGTTGTTCAGGTGGTATTGGTACAGTTATCATCCAACTCACTAAAAAATTAAAGTTACACTTATTATAACTATTAAATATATATTGAATATAATTATCGAATATATACGTACATATACATCTTATAGTCTGGATAGGTTAAGGACATAATTATCAAATATTAGAAGAAAATATAGGTGATTCATGTTTTGGAAGAAGAGAAAGTCTGACACAAAGGACTAAAACAAACATAATGAAAAAATTATAATTACATAAAGATTTTATATCTTCTGTATGACCAAAAAAATCCTTCCTGTATAACGACTTCTTATACAGCAGTGAAACAAAATACAAGAACATAAATTTGAACACTAGAAAATGGGCAAAGGGTAAGATTAATAAAGAGAGGTAAAATACATGAATATCGGATAAGTGTTTATTACTTATGATGTTCTACTTCATGAAAATAGTGTTAATAGCTATAATTTATTTGAAATTTCTACTTGAGTATAGTAAATATTTTCAACAGATTAGCTAGTTTAATTCTTTAAAAGGTAAGTATACTAATGCCATCTTTTATATAGCCATTGAGATAGGCGCTAAAGACCTCTGCCCTAAGTGAGAAAGATAACCCTGGTCATCTGACTCTAGAATCCTGTTCCTCATCACTTCTCAAGGAAATAAATTAATACTTCCTAAAATCTGACTCAAGTTTACAGAGAAATTGGCTATACTCAGTATCACATAGCTTATACCTCATATACCACATAGCTTATGCATACCAATAAATTGAGTTAATTTGTTTTCAGAAAAGAGGTAAAATAAGCAAAATGAGCAACAAAGAAATGTGTCTTAATTTTATAAATTCACTGTTTTCTTTTTAGAATGTTTAAAAGATGCTTCAAAGAAGATGAAAGGTGGTCTAATGTTTATCAAATTGGCTAACCCCTGCTCAGGTATGTTCTCCCCCCTCCTGTTTTTCCCATCACTGATGATGGAGTTCCAGACTCTGCGGTCAGTGTGTATACTGTTTACTGTGTCTTCTTTCCAATAGTTTTTAAAGCTAAATTGGCATCATGAAGTGAAAAGCAAGCTGGTGACTTTATTCATCTTTCCAGGTGATTCATTTGACCTAAACATTTTTAAAGTTTTTTTTTATAATGTTTAAGGCATGGAACTTTTCAGTCACCAGAAAAAAACAAAAGTAATGTGTTTGAATTGTCTCTGCAAACAGATTTTCTTTGGCTTTTTTTTTTTTTTTTTTAATGTAGCATAGGATCTGTAGGGTCTCTACACTGATCAGACTCGTCGTGATTCTCTTGTTTTCAGCCTCCCAAGCGCTGGGATTACAGGCGCACACCACCATACCCAGTCTCAATCCCTGTCAGCATGCCGCAGGGGTGGAACCTGCACAGCACACCAGGGATCAAACCCTAGTGCCTGTGTCTGCCTAAACAGGTGCTTTAATCTGCTGAGCTATCTGGCTGGCCCTCTTTGGCTTTCTTAAACCAACATTTCTTAGAGTAGTTAGCCAACATTAGCCCCTGCTTACATTCATTTTTATGTTGTAAACAACTAGAGTAAAAAAACAGAAGGCTTTGACTTGACATATTAAGATTGTCAGGACACTTTCAGCTTTATCTTCTGATTTTTTAGGCAGGAATGATAAACTGCTGTATTTAGTGACATTGGTGGTATTAGTTATCTGCATGCAATTGTTTTTCCATTAATTTACAGTTTTGAATAGACACCTGGTATTTACTTGGTGAGAGCAAGTTTCCTAGTGACTACAACAATGCTGAATAGTGGAACTGGTGGAGAGCTGGGAGGTAGTATTTTGTCGGAGAGGCATGTAAGTAGAAGTAGTGCAAGAGAGATGAAGAAGTTCTAACTTCTAGTGTTCTTTTCCTCAAATGGAAATTGAATATACTTGGTCAGCTGTCTTATTTACAACTCCTAGTCATGCAGAAGCCTAAGTTGAAGTAAGAAATTTTTCTTTGATAAGTTTTAGATTTCAGTAAAGGTTGTAAAGCATTTTTAAAAAGTACAGGTATAAAAGAAAGCCTTCTAAAATTTGTTCTATCTAAATGCCTATAGACGACCAAGGAACAAATGTTTGATACATAGGTGATGAAAAATAGAGGCTGACATCTGGTGAGCACATAGTAAGTATGTGCCAAGTGTTTTAGGAAATTTACATGTATTCTGCTTCTTCAGTCCTTACAAAAAAGCCTATGAAGGAGACTCAGTATTGCTCCATTTAACACATGGGGAAGCAGAGATACAAAAAAGACTTGTGTCATGTCCCCAAAGGTGTATGCCAAGTATGTGCTGAAGACAGATTCAGACTCAGGGTCCTTGATTACAGATATTGTGCTATAGATGTAAAAAAAGATTTTTTGGTTTTTTTTTTTTTTTTTTTTTTCATGAATTGAGGGGATAAAACATGCACATATTCACAGGCTTCCCCCTCCCCTAACCCTCCCCCTTTTTAATAAAAGAAACAGAAATCCATTCAGTGGAATAGGGCTGTACTGCTTCCTTCTACTTGATGTATGTCCTCACCTTTCTCACTTAGACAGGTAGTGGGGACAGAGGGCTTGAGCCCTCCTTGATCTCTGTGTAGGTAGCCACGTGCCCTCTTGGACTCGGGTCCCCATGTGCCAGCTCAGCCCACCTGGCTGAATTGTTAGGTTTTGGTAGTTTAAGAATGGTTTTTCCCTCTTGATGTCATGCAGTGAGATTCTTTGTAGCAGTTATGATAAATGATTTACACTTCTTTACTTTCTGGTTTAAGTTCAGTGAAGATTACAGAGCTGGAAAATAAAATAAGCATCTGTATAATAGCCATAAGCTTTCCTTGGAGTCAGTTTGTATGAAGTATATCTTTGCATGTTTATATTTGAATTAGGAGCATTCCTCCAAACTATTGGGTAATCTTTTGATGTGTGTGTGTGTGTGTGTGTGTGTGTGTGTGTGTGTAAAGTCAGAAATAAAAAATAGATTTGTCTTGCAGGGGAAGGAGCCATTTACTTGTTCAGTATGTGTTTAAAGCAGCTATTTGAAATCAAAATTTTCAAGGAAAAACACCATTCCTGGTTTATAAATGAATCAGTTCAATCAGGTAAGTGACCAGTGTGTATATTCTCATTAACTAAACATGTACTTTAGGTTTTCCGTCCTTCACAGATGGGCTTATGGAATCATGAACCTGGCATGGCGTGCGCTCAGTGGAACAGCTCTGTTGGCAGTGGCAGCAGGGCACAGTTTAACCAAGGAGAAAGCAAAGATCATGTAAACACAATGCCATTACCTAATTGAAGTTAGGAATATTTTATACTAGTGACTCTGATTTGTCTCCTAAAATACCAACACATGGGGACACGTGTTAACTAGAAATTCTTTCTTTTGAGGATATTCATTATTTTCTCAATCTCTCTCTCTCTGTCTTTTTTTTTTTTTTTTTTTTTTTTTTTGATTATTTTTTTTCCATTCTTATTTTTTGTTAGTGCATGATTACATTACATTCCTTGTGGGAGTTTGGTACACATATAACACATCTCAATTCTTTTTTTTCATTCCCTTTCCTTTCTCTCCCCTATCTGTTGATCCCCTTCCCATTTGAAAAAGGTCTCTTCTTAATACCTTTTATTTTGCTCTCAATGTCTTATCATCTTCATGATTTTAACACATTTCTTGAAACTGGAGACTGTAATAGCTCTTAAATAGATTAGCCTAAACCAACCTTTTAGAAATACTTTGTCGTGTGTGTGTGTATGTGTGTGTGTGTGTGTGTGTGTGTGTGTGTGTGTAACTACAGTGTGTGTTTAAATTTTTAAAGTTATTACAGTAAAAGACACATTAGTATAAATGCTTTCAAAATATCCATCACATTTATGATTCTGGCTAGTTTTTGAAGCAGTTCCAGAAGTCCTTTTTTGTTTCCTCCATTGTTTAATCTCTAACTAGTACCCTTGGGTGAAAGTCTGTAGAAGAAACTTTCCCAGTGATTAGTGACATAGGGCTTAGGATGCAACCTTGTAACTCATGGTAGTCAACAGTAGGTAGCCCCGGGCTATTTTATTACTCGTTCCCTAGACTTCAGCTGCCTCATGAATAGCAGCTACTTCCTAATGATGATTAAATATATTAATGCAAAAAACAGTATGTGCCTGGGCCATCTATACCCCCAACAAATGCCAGTTGTCAGCTGCCATTATTCACATGCCCATGTTACCACAGAGATGGAAGGTTTAATAGAAAGAAATGTGTTTTAGCCCTCAGGACATGAGCTGCCCAGTTTGTCCACAGGTGTCTGTCCTGGACAGCTGCTAGGTGGCTTTCGTCTGCAAAACTGAGAAAAGTCATCTGAGCTGTTTGGGTAGAAGACATTAGCATTTAATCTTCCAACCTGACAGACCTAGATGCATTCTTGTCGATGTAGAAGACTCTGTTGGGGGTTGCAGATAAGCCAAGTCTGGCACCCCAGTTGTACTTCCAGCTCATGGCCTGGTCATAGTCCTGCTGCAACTTCTGCTGCCTTCAGGGTGTCAGCTGCCACCTTGCTAAGGGCCATGTTGGGCCTTGTGATCATGCAAGGGTAGCGGCTGACTGAAGGGGACAGATTCTTAAAGCCAACCATAAGTTTGAGAAATTTCAGTTGCTGTTTCTTGTTTTCAAAATCTGCAGTATCCCACTGGCCAAACTGGGTTCCCTGCCACTTCCTGGGTTCAGATGCTTCTGTCTTGCCTGACTCCTGATCAGTCTCTTCTTGCAAGGCTTTCTGCCTCACCTGGTGTATGTGTGCCTCGTCCATGTTGCCTTTCTTCTCCATCACCACTTCCAGGTCTGTATCTAGCTCCTCCTTCCAAGGGTCTACTATTAACCGTGCTTTCTTTCTTCTTTTTCTTCCTTTTCTGAGCTAGCTCACCAACTGGCTTTTCTTCTCTTAACCTTTGTTTTCTTCTTCACTCTGGCTTTAGGGTGATCTAGTGGGATGTACTCCAGAACCTCAATTCTGACTGGCTTCTTCCTCTTTCCTTTTAGGGTTGGTCTCCATGGAGCTGGAGAGCTCAGAGTGGCCTGGGAGGGTGTCTTCCTCCCAGTAGACTTTCTTCTCCTTCACTTTCCTGCTGTGTTCTCTGGAGCTTTCCCTGCTTCCTTTTCTGCCCCAAGGCTGCCTGCTCCTCAGCCACCTTCTCCACCTTGCAATCATACATAGAATCTCCTGCCTCACAGAGCCAAGTGTTCTGGATGGAGCAGGCTATGGTATACTGGTCCTTTCTTTCCTTCTTGTATTTTTGGGGCTTCTTACCAACCCTGGCTGCCTTCTCACCAAGACTGGGGTCAAGGGAGGTCTTTACCTCTGAGCCCTCTGATGTGGCCAAAGGCAAGGTCTTCCTCTTCTTACTTTTCTCTCCACTGAAGGACTCTTGAGTGGTCAAAGGCCTGCTTTCTGGGGCTGGGTGACTTCTCTCTCTGGCTTGTGACATGGGCTCAGATTCGGAGAGTTCTTCATAAAAGGTGCTGGGGCCTGTCTTCTTCTTTTTTTTTCTTCAAGGGTATATGGGATGTCTGCTCTTGGCTTATAGTCCTAGAGAGGGATGTGGCCCTCACAGAAGAATTATTAGTGAAATAAATCCCCTCATTTACAATTGTGTATTGAATCTCTGGTTCTTTGATTATCTCCTTCTTTTTCTCCGGAAACCCAAGGCCCAGGTCTACTTTCTGGGTCTTGGTGATCATTTCTGCAGGACAAAACCCCAGAAGTCCTTTTTCATGCATATCTTTTCTTTTGGTGGCTGCCTTGATATCTTGAATAGATTTAAAACATTTTCCTTTCATGGTCATTTTGACTTTGGGAAACAGCCAGAACTTGCATGGTACTAGACCCAGTGGAGATGGTGGATGAGGATATTCTATAGTGTTTCTTTGAGTCTGCCTTTCTTTTGGATAGCACTCAGCTCAGCATCCACCATGTCTTAGTTACTCTTCTGTCATTGCTGGGACAAATACCTGACACCCAAAATGAAGGAAGGAAAGGTTTAATTAACTCACAGTTACTAGAGGTTTCAGTCCATACTCAGCTGGCTCCAAGGCAGAGCGGCACATGGCCAAAAGCAACCTGTCATGGTGGTGGCAAAGAGCAGGAGCCCAGGAAGCAGGAGCAGCAGTTCAAGCAGCTAACTTCTCTTTCCTCCTTACATTGAAATGCAAATTACACGCCTCAGGGTAGATGCAACATCCACACCCACAATCAGTCACAAACTCCAGAGGCTACCCTAAGACTTCATGAGGCTTTGTGGGGACACCTATACACAAATTGTAACATTCCACCCCTGGACCCCCAAAGACTCATGCACATCCCTTTATGTAAAAGCTATTCTAGTCCATCTCTGAGTTGCCAGAGTCCCAACAGTTTCATCATTGTTGAAAAGTCCAAGTCCCAAGTCTCCTCCAAGATCCAAGGCACTCTCAACTGTGAGCCCCAGTACAAATGAAAATTTAAACACTTGCAACAATCAAAGGCACAAGATAAAACATTACCATTCCATAAGGTACACACAGCAGGATACCAAGCATTGGAACCAACCCAAGTCCAAAATCCAGCAGGGAAAACATTAAGTCCTGCAGTCCCATGTGGGACATCTGAAGCAATCTGTGCTGAGTTGTGAGCTCCAAAGGCCTTAAATGGCTCTGCCCCTGTGGCACTCAAGGTGGTAGCTCCCATGGCATCTCTCTTAGGCCGGCTTTGCTCCCTCTTTGCAGTTTCCCTCAGATGATCCACGTCTCTGGCTTTTCCAAACTGCTGGGGTTTCCACTGAATAGGCTTCTCATTTTCTGCTTCACACACTGCCCTCTCAGGGGCACACTGCCTGGCCTCCCAGGCCTTCTTCTAAAATAGAGGTGGAAGCCTTTTTAACCTCAGAACTCCTGCATTCTGCAAGCACCTAAAACCAACACCATGTGTATGATGCCAAGGTCTGCTGCCAGCTGGAGCAGTAGCCAGGCTTTCCTCTCTCTTGGCTGTAGAGGTCGAGTGCCTGGATGGCTGAGCACTCTGACCCTGATTCTGAGGAATAAATTCTCCATGCTGGCGCCATCCTAGAACCTGAGCATAGGGCTCAGCAGTTTTCCCTTCAAAGCAAAGTCCCTGACCTTTGCAGTTCTGAGGCTGCAAAGAGTGGAGACCTGTCTCCTCCTGTGATGCCCTCAGGCCATCCTTTCCATTCTCAGGTTCCTTCCTGGCAATGGAGATCCTCTAGGTTCCATCTTTGCAGGCAACAGCTTTATTGGCGCTTCCTTTCTGGCCAAACGCACAACATTCTGAACCATCCTGCTGGACTCCTTGCTCTTCATTCTCAACATAAATCTGGCTAAAAGCCCCCAGCCACAACCAGGCTACTGCCCCAATATTTGGCTGCTTTGAAATATCTTTTCCCAGATTGATCAGTTCACCATGCTTAAACTCAGTCTCAGGCAGTCTCTGGACATGAGCAAAATCCAGACTTTTCTGCCAAGTCAAAACACAAATGATCCAGAGTCCATCAACCAATGCAGTCCTTCTTCTCAGAAGAAACCTCCCCAGCCTGGTCATCACAGGCAGGCTTTCTATCAGCCTTCTGGTCTTCTGAGCTCTGACCAGAATCTCCCCTACAGAAGAGCCAAAGCTGTTCCAGTGCTTCGCTTGTAGGTGACATCTCTGAACCTTTCCTATCTCTTCCCATAAGCCATTCCCAGAAGCTTGTAATCCACATGGTCAGGTTTAGCCACAGCAACAACCCCATTCCTGGTACCAAATTCTGTCTTACTCTTCTCTCATTGCTGGGACAAATACCCGACAGCCAAAATGAAGGAAGGAAAGGTTTATTTAGCTCACAGTTACTGGAGGTTTCAGTCCATACTCAGCTGGGTCCAAGGCAGAGCAGCAGAAAGCAACCTTTCATGGCTTCGGCAAAGAGCAAGAGCACAAGGGAAGGGAGCAGCAGCTCAAGCAGCTAGCTTCTTTTCCCACCTTACATTGTAATACAAATTACCTGCCCCAGGGCAGGTGCTGCATCCACACCCACAATAATCACAAACTCCAGAGGCTACCCTAAGACTGCATGAGACTTTGTGGGGACACCTATACACAAACCATAACACACCATATATTTTTTATCATGCCTCACAGAGACACTCATGAAAGGGACTTTTCAGAATTGCATCTGCAGTAGCAGGAATGATGGAATGTGTTCTGAAAGAAGAGAATATTTTGAGAAGGATGAATGGAAATGTGTCTTTTACTTAATACATTTTCTTGTTTTCAATTTAAGCAGTTGTGTTTCGATCACTCTTGTGTAGTACGCCCACACCTTCATACATACGTGTACACACACCCAGTACCTTTGCATGAGAGACTGGAAAGTTTTTAGCTGCCAGGATGCAGTCATAATTTGTGTATAGCCTGATTGATAAAAAGTATATATTACTCTTATTGTTGATTTTATGCTTATTCATTTGGTAGTGTACAAGAGCTATTATATCAAGTGTGGTGTACTTGTAGATGATGTACTAATAGGCACAGAAATATCCCCAGTTGAAAGGCAGTGATTACATGTTTGCAGTGGGGCTGTACATGCATGGCTAGGCCATGTGTGCTCGTACCACTTCCTGGGACTGTCCCATGCTGCCTCATGGGGAATCCTGCATGTACTGCTGGTGGCTCACATTGCAGTACATGCAGTGTGAGCAGTTAAGCATTTGTCCCAAATGCAGTTAAGCATTTGTCCCAGTGCTTCAAGCCAGCAAGCACATGTTAATCAAGTCTGATCTGTTCTTCATTGGTACCAGCTTCTGTTTTTTTTGAATAGACTGTTTCTTTTTTACAGAAATTTTAGGTTCACAGAAAAGATCTCTTTTAATTTTTTTCCACTGTTGTCTTCGTTTTAAACTTAACCCCAAAGAAAGCTATTTTGACAAATAATTACAGTAATATTATTGTTAGACCTAGAAACCTGTTACTAATTTTTTAATGTAAGGGATGCTTCCTATAAAATGAGCTTAGAACTGCAAATAGATTATTTTCATGAAGTTCTGTTTATTTGAAATATTCAGTTGCTGTCAAAATATAAAATTGCTTCCTTAATTTTTTTTCTGCATGCTATGAAATTTAAGGTTACAATAGAAACTTACATTTTTCTGTAGCTAACTAATGTAAGTTTCCTTGTGTTCACCTGTGCTTCCACAGTGTAAGGGAGGAAGAGAGAAAATCTATAAAAAGTGATTACTGAAAAGGAAACAGAAATTGGAAATTTGATTGTAGTGTCTCCACTCTCCTCACACAAGCATTTGAAACTCTGGAGTACAATCTCATGGAACACATTCTGCTTTTTGATCATGAAAGAATCTAGATTAAGTTAGCAATTTAAACACAGTCAGGCCAGGGAATTTGATATTAAAGAAAAGGAGAACATTTTAGTCAAAGCATTTCTTGCTACTTGTTAACCAAAGAGAAAGTACAACAAATTCCTATGTATGCTGAGTAGGTAGCTTGCATAGGTAAGTGTCTGAATAGGGATCGGTATGTTTTTTCAGCAAATGATTTTCACATTGAGTAAAATGAAATGACCAAGTAGTCTAAGACATACAGCTCTCTGTGTTCTTTACTCTGCAGGAGGTCTCCTTCACTTTGCCACACCCATGGACCCTCTGTTTCTGCTTCTCCACTACCTCATAAAAGCTGGCAAAGAGGTGAGCTACCAGTGTGGGGCATTTATACTGAGGTACCAGAAGAGACTGTTTTGCTTTATCTTTTCTACTTTTCACAGCCCAAATGTGGATTCCCAAGCTTCGCACTTAATTTGATTATTGTTAAAAATGTGTACAGTGTGTGCTCGTGTGGGTCAGCACCACACACAGGCCTGAGAAACAGCACCATAAGCTTGGGCCAGCTCAACACTAGCTTGGCCATGAGCCCTGGAGTGCCTGCAACCTCTGGGCTGCCCACCTCACCATTCTGTGCACCTTGATGGCTGACAAAGCCTAAGAAGGAAAACTTCCATCATTAAGTACTCAGATATGAAATGTCAAAAAAGTTGACCACAGGCCTTAGGAAAAGAAAGAAGACTTACTTTCTTTTGTGAGAAACTGAATTATGTAAACTAGGGCATGTCTAAATAAGTCTTATTAATTAAGAAACTATAATTGAGACTTAAGTAATCTTGGATAGACAAAATTTACCTTTGTAGTAAAAATAAAGATAGTTTATAAATAATTAGTTTTAGCCAATGGTTCTGAGACATACTAGTTTCAGGAAAGCTTTATGCTTAAAATTATTAAAGGTTCTAAACAACTCATGTTCCTGTACTTCCTATCAATATTTACTGTTAGAAACTAAAACTGAGAAATTTAAAATTATAAGGCCATTCTTTATATGTTAACATAAAAGGCACATTTTTAATGAAATAAACAACAAAATTTAAGGATGCAAGCTGCATTTTTTATGGATTTGCAAAATCCATTAATATGAGACTTAGTATATGACAAGTGAATTCTCGTATCTGGTTGTGCATCCAGTCGGTTCCATGCATTGTTTGGTGGGAGAATGAAGACTATATGGCCTCTTCCTAGTCAGATAAAGGAGAACTAGTATAATGGCCTTCTTGGATAATAATGGATAGTCTTTGATACTACTTCAGGAAACAACAAGGAGTCATTGCTTAAAGATAAGTCACAAAATGCAATCTGAAACTTTTGTCACCGGCCTTTCAAATTAATTGGTCAGTGTTGTTTTTATAATGGATTTTTACCCATGTATGATTTTATAATATCAGGCATTTTTCATTGAAAAAATATTAGCCACTGAGTTTTATAGATCTTCTAGATGTTAACACATTTCATTTTACACAGACACACACACACACACACACACACACACACACCACTGTACATGTCTTAGTTCATTTTTTGTTGCTATAATAGAACCTCTGAGACTAATTCATAAGGAAATGGTGACAATGGAGGCTGGAAGTCCAAGGGCATGGCATCAGCAAGGTCCTCATTATTGGTTAAACTCATGGTGGATAATACAAGGTTAAGCAGGCATATGTAGAAGAGAGAATACAAGGGGCAGACGTGCTGTCTAACAACCTGTTGTTAGAGTAGTGCAGTCCTGAAGAGTCAGAGAACTCGCTATCAGTAGAAAGGTATTAAGCCGTTCTTGAAGAAGACTATCCACATGCTTCCCAGCAGTCTCCATGGCAATCAAGCACCATCAAACTGGCAGTCATTAAGTCAAATTACCATCATTTCTGGATGACATAATCCTTTATGTAGTAGACCCCAAAATTTCCACCAGCAGACTTCTAGAATAGTAGCCAAATTTTGCAGTGTAGCAAATATATAAAATCACCAAGTCAGTAGCATTCCTATACATGAATAATGAACTCACTAAAAATGATATTAGAAAAACAGTACCATTCATAGTAGTAGCAAAAAAACAAAAAGAAATGTAAATTAGGAATTGATCAAACAGTAGTACTGTGAAAAAGGAAATCAAAGAGGCAAGTAGAAAAAGGAAGGTTATCCCCTATTCATGGATAGACAAAATAGACTTAATACAATCCCAATCAAAATACCAACAACATTCCTCATACAAATAGAGAAAATAATTATAAAATTCATATGCAATGAGAGGAAGCCCAGAATAGATAGCAAAGTAACCCTAGGTAATAAGAACAAAGTAGGAAACATCACTCCTGGATTTCAAGTTATATAACAAAGCTACAGTGATAAAAACAGTATGATCCTGGCACAGAAACAGACATGTGGAACAATGGACTAGGGCAGAGGATGCAAAAATAACCCTAGGCATATGTAGCCATCTGATCTTTGATAGAAGGACCAAAAATGTACTTGTTTTTAATAAATGGTGCTGAGAAAACTATGTCCCCACATGCAGAAGGTCAAATCTGGATCCATATCTTTCAGCATGTACTAAAATCAAAATAGATTAAAGATCCAGATATTAAAACAGAAAAATTGGCCTGCTGGAAGATAAAATAGGTAAAACTCTTGAAGACAAGTGGAGGCAAGGACTTTCTGAACAGAACCCCTCCTATGTAAGAAATAACATCAAGAATCAAAAAAATGGGATCAGCTTTCTGCTCTTTGCCACCATCAAGAAAGGCTGTTTGTTCTGTGCCCTGTGACACTCTGCCTTGGAGCCTGCCAAGTATGGACTGAAACCTCCAGTAACTGACTGACACATTGGTTATAAAATTCATATGGAAATGCAAGGAGTCCAATAAAGCCAAAACACTTAAAATAGAACAACCTAGAAGATTCACCTTTCCCAACATTAAAACCTATTGCAAAACTCCAGTAAACAAAACAGTATTGTACTAACATATGGATAAACATGGATCAATGGATTAAAGTTGAGGTTCAAAAACTAACCTGTACACCCATAGTCAATTGACTTTTTACAAGGGTGCTCAGACAATTCAGCAGCGGGGAGAGTTTGTTCAACTGGATGGTCATATGTGAAAGTGGATTTAGGACTGAAGTTTACACCGCGTACAGAAATTTACTCAGACTGGATCTAAGATCTAAATAAAGGAGCTAGAACTACAAGACTTGTAGACCATAAACCCAGAGCTCAGGCCCGGCGAGTGAGTGAGACAACCCGGGGCCCTCCAGATCCTGAGTAGACCCAGAGCACAGGCCCGGCGAGTGAGTGAGACGACCCAGGCCGCGGGATCCTGAACAGACCCAGAGCTCAGACCTGGCGAGTGAGAGAGATGACCCGGGCCGCGGGATCCTGAACAGACCCAGAGCGCAGGCCCAGTGAGTGAGTGAGAGACCCAGGCCGCGGGATCCTGAATAGGCCCAGAGCGCAGGCCCCGGAAGTGAGTGAGACGACCCGGGGCCCTCCAGATCCTGAGTAGACCCAGAGCGCAGGCCCAGTGAGTGAGTGAGATGACCCAGGCCGCAGGATCCTGAACAGACCCACAGCGCAGGCCTGGCGAGTGAGTGAGATGACCTGGGGCCCTCCGGATCCTGAACAGACCCAGAGCGCAGGCCCAGTGAGTGAGTGAGACGACCCAGGCTGCGGGATCCTGAACAGACCCAGAGCGCAGGCCTGGCGAGTGAGTGAGATGACCCAGGGCCCTCCGGATCCTGAATAGACCCAGAGCGCAGGCCCAGTGAGTGAGTGAGACCCCAGGCCGCGGGATCCTGAATAGACCCAGAGCGCAGGCCCCGCGAGTGAGTGAGACAACCGGCCCGGTGGGATCCTGAACAGACCCAGAGCGCAGGCCCGGCGAGTGAGTGAGACGACCAGGGGCCCGGGGATCCTCATTTGACCCAGGCTGCAGGCCCAGCATGGAACCCTTCAGCAGAACTCCCTGCAAAGAGGCTAGAGGGAAGACCCACCCAGCTGATTCAGGGGCAGAACATCTTGCCAGAGAGACACAAAGGGTTCAACTCTAACACCTGCAGCAGAAAGAAGTGGAG